CCTCTGACAAACAGAAGCTAGGGACACCATTCCTTATCCATACTGACCAATGGCCATTAATGGATTTATCCTCCATGAATTTAACTAGTTCTCTTTTAAACCCTGTTACAGTCCTAGCCTTCACAATCTCCTCAGGCAAGGAGTTCCACAGATTGACTACGCGCTGTGAGAAGAACTACTTCCTTTTATTTGTTATAAACCTGCTGCCCATTAGTTTCATTTGGTGGCTCCTAGTTTGAGCAAGGAGAGACCATGGAAATATGTTTGCATAAAAGGTATACAAAGTCATCAAACTAGCCAGATGGAGAGATGGCCACTTAACTATCATGGGGGGTGGGATTAATGTCAGGGCTTCCTAACTTTGAAAACAAAGGGTGTGTTTACATTTGGACTTAACGGACAAAGCTTTTGACATTCACAGGTGCTTAACCCCTCACTCCATGAACAGCAAAGTTTTGCAACAGCAAGTGAAAGTATAAACTCTGCTTTTTCAGCAGGAGAAAAAAAACCCACATGGGGTGGAAGTATTTTGTTAGCAAAAGTGCTGGCAAAGAGCACCCACACAAACCGACTTTTAGGGTGCATCTAGACTGCAGGGTTTTTCCGAAAAAACGTCACTTACGTCCACACCACAATCACAGGCAAAGAGCACCCACACAAACCGACTTTTAGGGTGCATCTAGACTGCAGGGTTTTTCCGAAAAAACGTCACTTATGTCCACACCACAATCACGGTCTTTCACAAAAATTCAAAGAATGCAGGGGGTTTTCCGACATTGGTAAACCTCATTCTATGAAGAAGACAACGAAACACGCAAAACAGAATGAGAGGGAGTGCTGGAGCCTTTGGGAGATGCCCGTCTCCCTCCTCCCCCCTGCAAACACCCCAGAAGCCACCCCCTATGAGGCCGCTCACCCAGTAGCAGGGTTGTGTGAGGGCAGGATGGCACAACTCCCCAGAGATGGGCCTTCCTCCAACCCCCACTCCACTCCCCACACTCTCCCACAGGCCTTTCCCGAGGGTCCCCCTTTTCCAGGACCCACTCTGTGCAGGGATTGCAGCCCGAGAGTGCCTTACCTCCATGAGGAGGACCCCAGCAGTGGACTTCCCTATGCCAAAGTGATGTGCCACCGACCTGTAGTTGTCGGGGGTAGCGAGATTCCACACAGCAATAGCGACCCGCTTCTCCAGGGGGGTGGCGGGCTGCAGGTGGGTGTCGTGTCTCCCGAGGGCAGGGGCAAGCCAGGCACATAGCTCCAAGAAGGTGGCCTTCCGCATGCAGAAGTTGTTGAGCCACTGCTGGTCATCCCACTGCTCCATCACCAGGCAGTCCCACCAGTCTCCAGCCTCCAAAATCTCGATCATGGATTGCGGGGGCAAGGACATTGCTCCCACATCCAGGCAGAGGGACTCACAGATGAGCTAAGAGTTGAGCTGGGGCAGGACCATCAAGATGGTTTGCTAAGCTGCTGCATAAACTGCAGCATGACAGTGTGGAGCCATCGCATGCCCAGGGGCAACTCCGGCTCCATAGCAAAAAACAAAATAATGCAGTGGTGTCCAACAAAGCTGGGCACCCAGAGCGCACACTGCTAAAGCTTTGCAGTCCCTCAGACAGTCAGCAAAGAGTATTCTCTATTCTGTGGTGTCCAAAAAAAGGGCAACCAGAGCAGGCAGTGCTAAAGCTTTGCTGTCCCTCAGAAAGGTAGGCAAGCCTGCAGCAGAACCTGAGAAACAGCTGTCCAGGGGGGTCCCTTTAAGCACGCGTCTCAGATCATCTTCAGACTATTTGTTGTGTTTTAAGTTGCTTTTTTTTACAGTGAGAAAGCTACTTAACACAAAAGACCCTAGCTTGTTAAATTAGGTTTCAGTCTTCAAAGCATATTTTACCTTTTTTTTTTTTTTTTTTGGCACCTGCTTCTATCCCAATTCCTCCTGCTCATCATCACCTACATTATCTGTTCCTTGGTAATAAATTTAACAATCTTGTTTTACTACACAATCCAGGTCCATATGGAGGGTGTGTGCGCAAAGGGTGCGAATGCACCCCCCTACGGTCCTCCAAGTAAGCATAAGGCTGGGGCGGAGCGTTGCCTCAGCTTCTCTCCCCCCATGCTCCCACTGGCCAGAGGAAGGCAGAAGCAGCACACTGCCCCAGCCTCCTTTGCACAGTGGCTGGCTGGGACACTCCCCATCCTCCCCCCCACACCCACCCATGAGTGAGACCCCCGGGGGTGGGGCTGGGCCACAGGGCCAGGGCAGCTGCCAGTCCCTCCCATGGTTCACCCCCCCACCCCAAAAATTCCTGCATTTGAGCTTGCAATCAGCTCAGTCCTGCATTTCAAACTAACTTGTTAACTCATCAGCCAAACTCAGAGGGTTGGTGCAGTGCTCTGTCTCTTTAAAGGAGCAATGAACTAGATAAGCTTTTGAGCGCGTTATAGTGAGAGTGAGTTGAGCATTCAAACAAGGTTTAGGGGAGATGTGCTTAGCAGACTGTTTCGTCTCCCTGCAAGGAGTAACTAGGCTAATGGAAGCCAGGGTGAAGTTACTGAGCTGCAAACAGGCTGATGGTCTCAGTGCTCTGAGCCAAAGCTGCACTGCAAACAAGGTTAGTGTGACATAACGCCTTACTGGTCTGGGTGAAACCCCAAAGTGTCCCAGAGAATTACCAGGTTCTGTATATTCCTACCTATTCCTATAAGGAATGTGCTACAATGTCACTTCGAGGAGACACTGCAGGTACTTCATTCCAGAAAGATCCCCTGAAGATTAGTGGGAAAAGGTCAAGTTCTAATGTGTCTGGACAAAGGCAGACTGGTGTAATGTCCTTAGCCAACAGGCAGGTTAATCCTTTGGAACAAAGAAAGAGATTTATTTCACCATAAAGGAGGGAGCCAGTTCCTAGAGGGAAAAAATCCTGTTTGGAGAACAGGGAAACCAGCTCTCCTTGGCAGCCTGCCACAACATGGGGGAAAAAACAAAACTGAAAGCGGCAGACACAGACTCTGACATGTACCCTTTAACTTTTCCAGCCTGTGTTTCCTAACCCATATATAGCTCAGGCTAATATTTAGCTCCTATTTCTGCAGGCTGTTTATAGCAAGTTTAAACATTCACCCTTTTTTTCCTACAGGCAGTCCCCGACTTACGCGGATCCGACTTATGTCGGATCCCTAGATACGAACGGGGTGAGGCAACTCCCGCACATGCGCAGCAGCATTCCC